TCTTCTTATTTTTTATTTTAATTTTACTTAGACATAATATTTCTTAAAAACTACTTGATTTATATTTTAATGTTCAGAAGTCTAGATAGAATAAACATTTTAAATTTAATAAAAGAAGGTAAAATGTAATTTTTTCTAACTCTTACTTTTAAATTAAGGATAAAATAAATAATATAAATATTTAAAAATAAGGATGATACATACACCTACTTGCTATCCGTTTAAAAATATTACCATATTACTTATTTTGTTACTGGTGAGATATTTGTGAAAAAATATATGTAAATATCCATTAATATCCGCATATATTCTTATATTTCATTATTTAAAACATTTAATTAAAATTATTCAAAAATAAACTTTAATTTAAAATATAAACTTAGATTAAAAAATGAATTTTTAAGCACAATTTAAATCAAATTAAACAATAAAATATTAACACAAGTAAATTTGATGTTTTCAAAAAGCAAATTTAAATATGTTGTGCCAATATATAAATTTAAAAAAAATTATAAAAATTCAATTTGATGAGTCTAAATAAAAAATATAAATATATAAAGTTAAATTTTAAACGTTTTAGATAATGTTTTAGATAATGCTTTCTCGTCCGTACAATATGAATGGTGATACGTGCAACATGAAAGGATAAAATAAGAAAAAGAGGTGTATGTAGTTCATAAGTGACATCAATATGATAAAAGAAAATGTTAGTAGTTTGGCCATACTTCAAACAAATTCGGCACTGAAAATTTACAAAGCATTCAATACAACCTTATAAACAACGACTACACATGATAATGTCATGTCCTCTTCTGCGTAGTAAAGCTAGATCCAAGGTTAGGAGAGGTTTCTGTATAATGCAAAACTTCCCAAGGTTAGAGAGGAGTCGTGGAGGAATAGTCTTAAGAATAAAAATAACAAGTTCAATTGGTTGATGTCAAAAAAGTAGTTACAGCCATCAGTTTTTTTTTTCAGTAAAAAAAATGATATTTTAACACATAAATTTTTTATATTTATTCGACACTATTCTTTGTTATTTTTTATTTTATTATTTTCAAAAATATAAAAATTCATTCTTTTAAAACAATTTTATCTTTATTAAATGTGTCAAATGAATGTCGTGTTATACTACCTTTATTTAAAGAAAAATAAATGAATGTGTAAGTAGTGAGAGGTAAGCATATAAAAAAAACAAGTAATGAAAGACTTGGAATATCATCTAAGAGAAATACATGTGATATTTTTATGGTCTATTTATATTTAAAACTAAATATAGGAGAGAAAAAAGATCAAACACATCCTAAAACCTAACTCACCAAAAAAAAGATAGCTAGAAATAACAAGCCAAAAGAAAAATCACTACGTTAGAAAGATACAAAGAGATAAAAGAAAATTTTATTTTGTTTTATTCTGATATGAATGTGTTCTAATAAGTTAAAAAAAAACAATTGAAGGCAATTTTAACTGTTTGTATTTCTGGGATGCAAGAAGATATTTCTGTGGTGTAGGAAGAAATACTATCGAAAACAAAATCAAAACTACTTATGAGTTAGAATTTTGGATGACACGATTTGAAAACATATTTTGTATTGCAAAATTTGGAATAAATTTTCAAATATGAAAATTATTTTGGATTGAGTAGTTCAGAATTTCATTACAAATTTCGTAATTAAAAAAAATTATTTTAGATCATCATCAAAATGCAATCATGAATTACAAAATTTAGAAATATATTTAAAATCATATCATTTATATTTTTAAATCTAAAATTACATTTCAAATTGTCTAATTTATAATACATTTTTAGATTAGGCAAAACAAGATATGTTTTCAGATTAAGAATTTTGAATAAATTTCTAAATTATGGATTGCACAATTTTAAATACATTTTTATATCATGCCATCAATAATGTACTTTTAGAATGTGCAATCTATATTAGTTGTATAATCCAAAATTTGTCTACTTGGACAATTTGAACTTGTGTACAAAAAGAAATTACCTGCGCGTCAGGTTTATTAATGGGCTTCAAACATGCATTAGTCTGAAGTTTATGTAATTTCTTTTGCGATATTGCTTCCTGCACCCTATTACATTTTTTTCATCCACCCGTAGAAAAAGATACCGGATTTTTTTTCCCTAATAGGAGAGGGGTGATTGTTGTCTAGAAAAAAATGTTTCAAAATTGTTTCCGGACAATAGATTTCGGAAGTGAAGTGGAGGAAGCAATTTCTTTTTTTAACACTCCATATTTTCTTCTTATCATTAAATATTTAAATTATTCATGATAATAATTTAGATAACATAATCTAAATAAATAAAATAGTTAGGTATTTTCACACATGGAATGAATATGACATATGACACATGACATATAGACATATGACATATAGACATATGACATATAAACATATGACATATGACATATAGACGTTTTTATGCTCGTTAGGTTGTTATGGATCCTTATGTTATCTTTTAAGCAAAGACAACCTATATTTAATGGTTTTGTAATTATTGTTCATCAAGAATACAATGTTAAAAGCATTTACTAAATTCAATGAGTCAGGGTGCACTAAAAATTACCCATCACAACTCATTAAACCCACTCCAATGAATATAATTATCATGCTTCAACAAAAATATTAATTTTCAGTTTTACATCCTTTTTGTGATCTCTTATATGAATATCGATCATTGAATAATTGATTTTTTGTTGTGACATTATCTTCATTGTTCTTTTTTGATGTGAGTAATATATTAACCTACTTCAGTGTACTTTTGGTCATGTCAATAACCATGAATTGCCTATTCGACTTTAATTTGCTAGCATAAAGGTGACCAACTAATGTATTAGACAATTCATGATTATGGTTATCAAGTGATGCCTTCAAAACCTAACATTTTCCCTTGTGATTTGATTCACCCTATAATTTAAATTGACAATCACATTTACTTATCCTAATTATAATGATGACCAACCCCATATTGTTTTTGTACATATCTTATGTTTCACAACCTAACAACGCATAAATCTTCCTTTTCTATTGCCCATTTGTCGTTGTAAACCTTAGAATTACTATTAAAAAAACCAAAAACAAAGATAACCATAAACACCCATTCAAGTAAATATACCAGATACCTAACACAAATACATTACAACATCAATATATTTGATGTTATTACTTTTTTTTAACACAAATTAAATTCAACTAACCTCATAAGTTATAAATGACAAAACACAATCCCTTCCCATCGTTATATTAAGCTTTTCCATCACAAAAAACTAATTTACCCCATCCGATATATTATTTTAATAGTTCATTTATTTAAAGTTACTTTAAAGTAACACAATAAATTTCACTCACCCACTTAAATAACAAAATAATTTTATTGATGGTACAATATGTAATATGTAGATTACAATGAATTGCACAATCCATAATGCATGTACCACTGCGAATTATACGATTTGTAATGTGAACATACATTCCAAATTATATTTCAAATTTCTATTACGGATTATATAATTCAAAATACGAGTTTATGTTTCGAATTGTATAATCCATAATGGTCTATTACCTTCCAGATTATATAATTTGGTATAGCATAAACTTGATATTTATTACTTTTGAATTGGATAATCCATAATATTTATATATTGCACAATCTAAAATTATAATATAAACTCAAATGAAATCATACATAACTATGAGCCCAAAGAATAACCTCCTCCCACGCTCGTGGACCACCACCAACACTTTAAGTTTTTCTTGTTGACATTCGCTGTTGGTGGATATATATGTGAAAAAAGGTGTCAATGGTACGATGAGTCTTTCATCTTTATATATTGCTATACTTTCTCATTTCTATCCAATACGGGACTCCTTCAAAGGTGAGTCCTTCCACATAGGTACCCTCTCCCTCCAGCAGAAGGATTCCCAACCAACCACAACTACGAGTAAGGTTTCCTGTGGGTTACACAAACACCAATAACATCTTAGCTAACTATATAAGATATCGACACCACTCTTTACCTAAAACCTTAAGACAATGTGTTAATGGATCTTTCATCTTTATATGCGGCTAGGGATGGCAACGGGTCGGGTCGAACACAGATGGTGCCTACCCGCAACCCAGACAAAAAAAATCCACCCGCTACCCGACCCGCTACCTGCACGGATACCTGCGGATACCCGCAAATATTTTAAAAAAATATATTTTAATAAATTATTAAAATAATTTAAAAAGAATTACAAAAAATATATAAAATACAATATAAATTAAATTAAATATAAATATAAATTTAATTTTAATTAAATTTATTCTTGTAAAGTATAAATTAATGTTAATTTTAATTAAATTTAACTTAATAAAATATAAATTAAATTTTTATTTTATTTTTTGCGGGTAGCGGGTACGGATATTATAATACCCGCACCCGACCCGTTTATAAGCGGGTATTAAAATATCCGCTACCCGTGGGTTGCGGGTAGTAAATATTCGCATGTATCAACTATTCGTCGTGGATTTTATTCACGGATATCCGCGGACGCAAATTTTTTTCCCATCCCTATATACTGCTCTACTTTCTCATTTTTATCCAATATGAGACTTTGACTCACCCTTGGATTCCCAACCTACTAAGTAACATATATGATAGTCCTTAACATAATTTTAGATTTCAAAATATTCTAATTTATACAATCCAAACAATATTTTAACATGTCTTATTGTACAATCTAAAATATTCCAAATATGAAATCACGTTTCAAACCACATAATCATGTACGTTAACATAACCCAAAATATAATATGAATTTGGATTTTTTTTTGACTTAGTAGGCATAAACTTTGTGGAGGTGCAGCGATAGCTGTGACAAACATGCTGTTAGGTCATTTTCATATTTTAAAAATCAAGGTTAGTTAGATCATTTCCATTAGGCTATAGGATGCAGAAGAAAATATGGGGTGAAGAAAGAAATAGGCTGCGGGTGGATATAGAACTAGCCCAAAAGTTTGATGTCTTGCATCGATCCATTTCCTTCACACGTGTGACTTGCTGCACAGCTGATCTATGCCCCTCTCCCGGGCACAAGATCTATGACCACTGCACTTCCTTTCCCGTATGGTGAAACTTCGTAACAACAGATTACAGTGACGAGAGTCTTCACTCCATCGACGCACATCCGAGATGGCTTTCATGGCGGTCTTGGAGTCCGACCTCCGCGCTCTCTCTGCCGAAGCCCGCCGTCGTTATCCCGCTGTTAAAGACGGCGCAGAACACGCCATCCTCAAGGTTACTCTTCGCTGCTTATGTTTTCGTTCCGCATTAGTGATTTTGAATTGCATCTGGTTTGAGCTCTTTGTGACCTCCGAAACTCTGCTGCATTGCAATTCGATTTTGCAAACAGGAAGGTTGTGCTGTGGTGTTTCGTTGTTTTAGGAACTGATTTTAAAGGAAGAAAATGTGACTGTATGAATTTCAATTTTGGACTTCCATTTATCGGCTAGTAGATCATCACAACCATTGAAATGGGTTGAATTGTTGGATTTAGTTTGAAGTAACCTCAACGCTTGGCGCTTGGTTACTCGGAAAACGAGGAGCGTTTTTTTTTTTTAAATTTTGAATGATGCTAGAATGAATATTTAAGGATCTTTGCTGTGGAAAGTTCTTTGACAATGTTCTGAATGACTCTGTTAGATGCAGAAGTGTAATAATACTGTTAATAGGCAATTTCAGAGGGGGACTTATACGGGCGTTTTGTTCATTTTATCTTATGGATAAAAAAATGGCAATTATAAAGTCTTTACATGTCTTATTATTCACTTACAGCTTCGAACGTTGTCAAGTCCGAGTGAAATTGCACATAATGAGGACATATTACGCATATTTTTGATGGCTTGTGAGGTCCGAACAGTCAAGCTTAGCATTATTGGGCTTTCGTGTCTGCAGAAGCTGATATCCCATGATGCTGTTTCCCCATCCGCCCTGAGGGAGATTCTATCTACCCTGAAGGACGTAAGTTTATTTTGATAACCAGTTGAATCATAACCATATAATGGTTTAAAAACATTTAGCTAGTCCTTACTTTTGACTCTACACTTTGGAAATATTGATTGTCAAAATGTCTTATTTTTTTGTCTGGTCTTGCTGTTTGGATATAGTGACTTTCAAATCGTGTTATTTATTTAATTTTTATGTTTAGGTTTAATTTTGTAGATTTATGTCAGAGCTGTACATTATGTTTTAGTTTCATTCTAGTACAAAGGCTAAGTCATGGTTCAATAACCTGCCTATAATAACCCTGTCCTGTGCAGCATGCTGAAATGGCGGATGAGGGTGTTCAGCTCAAGACCCTTCAAACAACATCAATAATATTTCAATCACGATTGCACCCTGAAAATGAGGTAAGTTTCAACTACATGAACTACTATAGATGATTTTGTTTGCCGTATACAAACTGTATTATAACCGGACCCTGAAATTGAATGGTAAGCTGACTGTACTCTGTTAAATATAATATATAATATATTGATTTTATTCAACAAAAGATGTAATTGACCTAAATAAGGTTTATGTAGTGTGACATGGACTGTATGATACAGTTAATACATTCACATTGGACGATTTCCTAGTTGGAGGTTTGAACCTTATCCTATTTTTTAACTTTTAAGAACATGTTGGGATTTTGGAGTTAAAGCTGTTTGGCTATGAGTCTCAGCAGAAATATAGAATAAGTTATAAGTCAATACAGCAACAACATTGCCTTAATCTGCTAGGTTAGATTGGCTATATGGATCAATGAATGCTGTAGAGCAAGATAAATGCTTAAAATACTTGAATAAATAAAATGGAAGGAAAATGGTGTATTCATCCTACAGTGTCGTGCCTTTTTGTTGATGTATATATAGGAGTTACAAAAGAAGGCAAGGCACTTACCTTACACCCTAACCCTAAAGTTGGGTACGTACAAAAGAAATAGAAATAAAATAACATTACGTTTTAACACTCCCGCTCAAACTAGAGCATATAGGCCATATGTACCAAACTTGGAACAGATAAACTAAATCATAGGTCCTCTTAGAGATTTAGTCAGAATGTCTCTAAGTTGCTCAATAAAATTGGTAAACCCCATAATAAAATCCTTAGCAACAACTTTTTTCTAACAAAATGGCAATCAATCTCTCTATGTTTAGTTCTCTCACGAAACACCGGATTGGATGCAATCTTCTCATTTTCATAAAATTTGAACTCTTGAAGGAGGTGTTTAATCCACACAAGTCCACATGTGGCTAGGGTCATCAATCTATATTCACCTTTTGCACTAGATTGGTGAACAACAATTTGTTTCCTACTTTTCCATGATACAAGCTTCCCTCCAAGGAATAGACAATATCTTGTGGTAGATCTTTTGTTAATGGAACAACCGACTAAAGCACTAACTTATCTACCTTGCTCTATTTCAGTAAAAGCTCTACACAATATGACTAATTTTATCAAACCAAGTTTCGGGTGATTACTCAGGTCATACAGAGATTCAGGTCATACAGAGAGACTGATATATTTTACAAACTAAACCAGACTCTCTGTGCAACAAATTTAGGAGATTGCTCCATGTAAATCTCCTTCCCTAGATCAACATGAAGAAAGACATTTTTAATGTCAAGCCGGTGAAGAGGCCAATGGTGAATGATAACCATAGCAAGAAAAAGATGAAAACTGTTGATCTTAGCCACATGAGATAAAAGTATTACAATAGTTGAAGCCATAAGTCTAAGTGTATCCCTTAGTTAGTAGACAAACTTTGAGACTATCTACTTCATCAATATGACCAATATTAATTGCATAGACCCATCTACAACCCACAAGCTTCTTACAATGAGGAAAGGGGACAAGCTCCCTAGTTCGATTGTGTTCAAGTGCATGTATTTTGCCAATCATGGCTTGTCACCATCTATGGTGACCAAAATCCTTGTGAACATTGTTAGAATAATAGTGGTGGACGAGGAGAAAACAAAAAAGGAATATGAAGGAGACAAATGATGATAACTTACAATATTATAAACAAGAGATCAATTACGAATATATAAAATTCCTTTTCTAAGGGTAATAGGCAAAGAATGATTAGAAGGAGAAAGCGAGGAAGATGCAGGATCCATGGTATTGGAATATGGAGGTGGAGGATTTGAGTCATGAGGATCTTTAGCTAAGGATGAAGGAGTTATTTGTGCCCAATGTTGCAATGTAAGAAGGACCTATTGAACAAATGAAGAATGTTCCGTTGAGGACAAGAAAAAAATTGTGTCCTCAAAGGAGGTAACATTAACATATATATAATAACTTTTGGTTGAGGGAGACATTTATATTCATTGTGAAGGTGGGAATATCCTAAAAGGGCACATTTAATAGCCTTTGTAGAATGTTTGTGAAGACTTGGAGGGACACAGTGAACAAAGCTAGTACACCCAACCACATGTGGAGAGACATGATATAGAGGGTCATTTGAAAAAAATTTAGAGTGAGGAACTTTATTTTCAATAGAGGAAGAAGACATCTTATTGATTAGGAAACAAACAGTGGGGACAACATTCTCCCACTGAACATTAGTATTTAACATTAGAGAGCCTGGAATTTCAATAAGATGTCTATTTTTCCTCTCTATTATACTTCTTTGTTGTGGAGTGTGAGAACATGCTCGCTAATATAAAATTGCTGGGGAAGATAAAGAATAAATGAAACACAACAAAATAATATTCCTTAGCATGATCACTTTTGAGAATTTTAATTATCTTCCCAAATTGGTTCTTAATTTCATTGAAGAAAGACATATAAGTTCATATTTGTCTTTCATTATATAGACTTGAGTATGTCAAGGGGATTCATCAATGAAGGTTACAAAATAATTAAAATCAAAAGAAGTAACATACTTGGTCCCCAAAACATCATAATGAATATTAGAAATTTAGGAAAGGAAGATCTAACAAGTTTTCTTAATTGACAAGATTTACAATCTAAAGCTTGAATTTGTTTGAGACTAGCAACCATCGTCTTCCATCTTGATAAACTTGGATGGCTCAAATGATCATGCAAATGTTTTGGGACTGGAGTTTCAAAACAGGGCGGAGTTACTCAGGTTCAAATGGTAAACACCCAATTACTCATGTCCTTTTCAAATCAGATGACTCATGCCATGTTCCTGCATAGAAAAGGAATTAGAAGTAAAGGTCACAAAACAATTTAAAGAACAAGTGAATTGATTTAGAGATATTTAAATTATTACAAGACAATTTAAATTTAGGGAAGGGGATTATGAAACTTGGCCAACTTCTTGAGATGCTACTTTGGATCCATTGGCAACAATGACACAATGAGGAATTTTTTGGTAAAAAATGGTGGAAAAAGGAAGAAATGTTTCATGGACTATGACCTTCCATAGCTTGAGTAACGCATGTAGTTGATACACTTAACATAAAGGGGATTGAACTTGACTGCCATAAAACAACACATAGTTGGAAGCTAATCTTTTTCCATTAAGATCTATTTGCATTAGGAATAGAGCTGACTTCCATTTCTAAATGGTCATGATATCCTTGACCGTAGAACCTGTTGGGAAGTCCCACATCACTTGCCTGAAGTTTTGGAGTGCGAATTATATGTCTATTGGACAACTTCACTCAATGCCAACATTGTATCAAAGCCTGTAGCTCATCTTGGTAATCACCTGGTTTTTGCAAGCTTGTCTAGTTTAGAAGACATTTTTGGAGGGGTAATGTTGGGAAGTCCCACATCACCTGGCTCAAGTATTGGAGTGTGTTATATATTTGTCGGGTAACTTCACTTAATGCTAATTGGTTTTAAGTAGAAATCTAACGTAACCATAACATAACTACATGGCAAACCAAGATGGATAATTCTTCCAGTTGAGTGTTGCATTTGTAATGGTAGGAGTGGCAAAAAAGAAAGGAGCAATTCCTATTAAAGTCATTTCAAGTCATGGACAACTTCTCTTAATGCTAATTGGTTTTAAGCTGAAATCTAACAAAAGCATAACTCCATCGAGGAAAACCAAGATGAATAATTCTTCTAGTTAAGTTTTGCACTTGTAATGATAGGATATGAGTAGCAGAAAAGAAAGGAGCAAAATCTATTGATGTCATCTCAGAGATAGAGAACGGCCACCAAACCTGAGAAGAGAGAAGAGGAACCCTAAGGCTGTGAGAGGGAGAATGTGTCTCAACACCAAAGTTAGTTGAAACAATGAAATGAGGTAAAAAAACGGAGACAAAAGAGGCCGACAGTACAAACAAAGGTGTTGCTTTCATCTATAAGGACTAATGAGGTTAAACATAGGGATTTATCTTACATGATATAATAGATGAAAACATTATTTATAAAATTAGAACGCTACTTCTATCAAGAACTCCAACCTCCGGTGAAAAAATACAATGTTGCTAAAGCTTGTTTAGTCCTTGCCTTGCCCAAAGCTTGCAGAATTCAGATACAGCTACGAGTTCACAAGCCAATTCATCATGTTAACGCAAGTAGTTGCTTGCTTTATGCAAATGTTGGGACAATGTTTTTTGTGGTATCCTTACATTTGATGGGTCATTAGTGTTACATCTACTAGTAGTGTTAGACAACAAATTTAGTCTTGGAGGGGACCTTCAACTTAAAAGGAAATAAATTAGGCATTAAGGATTACAACTAAATATTTTCTAAAATGTTCCCAGGAATAACCGTGAAGATTCTCTGTTTTGAATGTGTTGAAAAGTTGTCATATGCCTTCTCAAAATATAACTCTAATATACTATATCATTATTCATGAAGGCCATAGGAAATAGGGAAGCTTCTAGAGTTTGTCTGCCACTCAAAAGCAACCTTTTAGCAATGGAAGTTGTGTACTCATTCCTTTACCAATCTCAGGGACAAATCCTTAGCTATAATCTGATAGACTGGACCAAAAGATAAAAAAATAGATTTATTGCCAAAGTTAACCAATATTAGTGGTTGGTTGAATATTGATTCATTGTTCATTGTTTTGTGTGCTGATTCTGTATGCTTTTGTCAATAGAAAGACTAAGTATGATGGTTTGGGCATCATTATCGTAGGATGGATCATATGATTTTAGGGTTAAATTTTTTATGCACTTTGCGTTTTTTAGAATTGGGGGTTCGACAAATTACATGGTACATCATCCTGCCAAATGGTCCCAATTATTATGCAATTGCTGAAAAATAAAATTGTTTAGAAAAGGATATAGGAGGCTGTTTTCATTATATTATGCTGTCCTAGAGTTGTTCAATTTCAATATTTTTTATCTGAAAGATAAATAGACCAGACCTTTGAATTTGTGTCCAACTTGTTACAAGTTATTTGTTAGACTCTAGGCAAGAGATAAACATTGAGCTGAACTGTGTGTTTCGGAGTCAATACATATGCTTTATTTATATTGGAAAAAAGAATCAATACTATAAATAACTTATATTTGATATTCTCTAATAACAATGATATAATACATGAATAAATAAAATGTTCCTAATAACACATACAACCTAATAATATATATATATATATATATATATATATATATATATATATAATTTAGATTCTGGATTATAGAGGATCAACTTCTTATTTCTAAAATTGTAACAATATTCCTGATTATATAGGATCAGTTCCTTCTTTCTATAATTATAACAGTTATAATCGTATCTTGTTAATTTCAGGATACCATGTCTCAAGCTCTCGGTATCTGTCTCAGGCTTCTTGAAAACACTCGATCTTCTGATAGTGTGCGGAAGTAAGACCTCCCTCTCTCTCTATGTGTACACATATATGTGTATAGATATAGATATGCAAAAGTTGTGATTCTGCTGTAAGTTGTAGTATTTAATGTTTATTATCTCTCTAAGTAGTTGAGTTAATATTAACATAGTTTAATGTACCTCATGAAGTTGTGATGTTTTAATTGTTATCTTGAAACTAGTATTGGTTTTTTATTATCTTTGTAATCATTGTTGTTATAAATAAATCAGCTGCGGTGTGGTAAAAATACATTAAGCAAATTTTTTCTTGCATTTTCTCACAGATTCATTTAACTCTTCCCTGTAGTAACCTTTTCTCCATATTAATATTATATCCATCATCAGTTGCTAATATTTTTGTGTTGCATATACTTATCCTATTTATCTGTATGTGTTCTTAAATATTTTTTTTGCAGTACTGCAGCAGCTACCTTCAGGCAGGCAGTAGCCCTAATTTTTGATCGTGTAGTTTTGGCCGAGTCTCTTCCAGCTGGCAAATTTGGTTTTGGAGGTCAGCTCACTAGGACAACTTCGGTTACTGGTGATGTTAACCGTAGCTTCAATTTGTCAAAGTATGTTCTCCCCCTTGTTATTAGAGACTTGCTTAATGGTGTTGTCTCAAGTAGACCAATTAATTCTCTTAATTTGAACCTATGGTTATGATCTTTAGATCATGTTTACAATTCCAGTGAGATCACTTGTTGATTGTGTTTATAATCATGCACAGCTCATTAGATAATGAAATTGTTTCTGGGAGTCCTGCTGTGAGGAGGGAGAATTTAACTGAAACCGGAAAACTTGGACTGCGCTTGCTTGAAGACCTGACATCTCTTGCCGCAGGTGGATCTGTATGTGCTTATTTGGAACCATTTTATTGGAATTTTTTGTCTGAGTATCTAGAAATCCGTTAGGTGCTCTCCTTTTTTTTTTTCCAAATCACTAGTATAAATTCTGATATTCATTAAATGCCATTTCTTCCTGGATGACATTGACCTCCATCTATTCTACAGGCAAATTGGTTACGTGTCAACATTCTTCAGAGAACATTTGCACTTGATATTCTTGAGTAAGAAATATTTTTGCATTGTGGTTTACTGGTTGACGTCATTTTGCAGATTATTTGCAATCAGATATTTGATTGAGATGCTTGGAATTGTTGATTTATTCTGTTATCTTATGCTAAAATGCTGTTTAAGGGAAGAACATTCACACACACACACATCTATTTATATTTATTTTTGTATTCTTCAAATTAGATCCTCCAAATGCTTGTGAATTGGCCTCAACGGTATGGTGAATTCAATTTGGTTGTTCTACTGAAACATAAGTTTGCAATGCTCTTCAATCCTCATTATAATATTCCAAACATGTTTTGCAGGTTCATTTTGTCCAATTATGTGGCTATCTTCAGAACCTTGTTACCCTATGAACAGGTGAATCTGGATGCTATTACTGATATTTACTTGAATCATACCATACTAACATATCTTTTGTTCTTTTATCTCATTGTATTTGTTCATAATCGTTCAGGCTTTACGACGACAAATTTGTTCACTTCTTATGACTTCACTTCGTACCAATGCTGAGGTAATTAGTGCCCTGAAACATGTATAATGATGTTGTCTAACTCTTGAGATTCTTTCTCTGTTTTTGAACAGTAAAGTGATAATTTTTGTAATTCTTTAATGTGTAATTAGCTTGAAGGAGAAACTGGTGAACCTAGCTTTCGTCGTTTGGTCTTGCGTTCAGTTGCTCATATCATAAGACTTTATAGTTCTTCCCTTATAACTGAATGTGAGGTTAGTTTCTTATTTCCTTTTCCATCTAGCCACTCAGCTCATATCAATCAGGCTAAGGAAATTCATATTGCAGATTTCCTTTTCGGGTTGAGTGAGAGGGATATATTTTGTATTTGTGATGTAATGTACAATGAGCATAATGCTTGTGAAGAGTTTCTTCTCAACCGAGAGCTAATTCTTTGCTTGTAATCTAAGATACCACCCTTGTATTTTGCTGCCCTTTGGTATCAGTTCCTTTTATATATTTTGTCACATCTCAACAATATTGACAGATGATTACTTTTTCTTTTAATTATCAGGTTTTTCTCAGTATGTTGCTGAAGGTTACTTTTCTTGATTTGCCATTATGGCATCGCATTCTTGTTCTTGAGATTTTAAGGGTAATTTAGTTCTGTTGTATTATTCTTTTTAATTTTCTTTCACAAGTTTTTGATCTGATCAGTTAGTTTTTAACCTAACAACCAGACATGGTGGTTTCTAGGGGTTTTGTGTTGAGGCACGGACACTGCGGATTCTTTTCCAAAATTTTGATTTGTAAGTTCAATTTTCTTTTCTGAATTTAATGATATTGTGCATAGTTCTGGGATAAACTGGTATATTGGTATTTCTTGTAATTATTGTTATGTAAGTTCGCTTATTTTTTTTCTCAATTTAATGATATCATGCTTAATAATTCTAGTTCTGTCTGGTTATTATGTGTCTTAGGAGTATTGTCAATAAAGCTTTTATCTTATAGCTTATTGGCCTCCATAAATGTTTTTAAAGAATTAGATGTATATAGAAGTTATGGGACGTAGGAAGTGATGTCGAAACCATGAATCAGGCAAGATGGATGAAAAAGAGGATTGCTTTGGGCGTGATATGCGATACAAAAGTAACCATTTGAAAAATTTACTGCACATTATATAAAACCTGCTATGATAAGTGGGACAAAAATCTGCAATACATTATGGGATAATGTTGGGGGATAAAGAGCCAACAAAAAGTAAGCTTAATGTAAGAGAAATGAGAATGTTAAGATGGGTGAGTTGGTACACTTGACAAGATAGGATTAGGAATACTATCATTCGACAAGACAGAATATCATCTTACACGGTTTTGAGCATTTGTACAGAGGACTTGTGGATACATTAATAAGGAAGGTTGACTAGATGATAGATTATCCAATGGTTAGAGGTAGAGGAAGACCAAAAAGAATATAAGTGAACAACAAACAATTATAGGTCAACATCAAATCATTGAGAGATTTATAACAAACAAGAATGCGAGCCTTGAGACATACACTGATGTTGATTATGCAGGTTTAGTTATGAATAGGAGGTCAATCACTGGATATTGCACCTTCTTTGGTGTAAACCTAGTAACTTGGAAAAGTAAAAAGCAGTTGTAGCTAGATCCACTGCCGATGCAAATTTCCGAGAAATGGCTCAAGGAATATATGAACTGTTATGACGGAAGATTATACTAGAAGCCTTAAAGATAAAGTGGGATGAACCTATGAGGTTATATTGTTACAGTAAATCTGAAATCAGCATGAGGAACTAAACATATTGAAGTGGACAATCATTTGATCAAAGAAATGCTTGACAGTGTCTTGATTTGCACCCCCATATGTGTCTACGCAAGGACTACTTGCATACGTACTCACCAAGGGGCTGAAGAATAATAATTTTGAAAAATTATATCCAAAGCTGATAATGGAGAACACTTATTCACTAGCTAGAGGGGAAGTGTTTTAGAATGTTTTAGATTTTATTCTATTAAGATATTTTAGGAAGTTTCAAATTTTATTCTTATTGGTTTTAATTTTGTATATTGGTTATACCTTGGTTTTATTACTAGCATATCAATCCACAGTCTTAGGGATTTATTTCCTTGAAAAGGTTGTGCTTGTCTCCTAATTTATCCAATGAATGTATGTATATATATCATATGTATATCATAAAGAATTATAAAGAAGACAAAGTTGTTTTTTGATTCAATTCTTTTTGGAAAGAAGACTGAATATGTTTTCCTAATTGACATGACTCACTGTCTAGGCTTGGAGTTTACTAAGTTTTGGAAATCATCCTTTTTAATTTTGATAAATGTGGATGATCCAAGCAATTTTGTAGAAGCTTAGGAGATAGGGATGCTTAGCAAGACATTGACGGTCTAGTGCCCTATATTCATGTCTTTCACCAATCAATCGACCAAGACTATGCTTTTATATAACAAAAGAATTTCCATTGAAGTTTATATAAAACGAGTTAAAGATTTAGTTAATTGACTTAAGGAAATTAGGTTAAAAGTACGACTAAGGACAAAAAAAACATACTTTAGGTTCAAAGATGGAGAGAGGGGAATTCCCTGAGAAGTAACTTTGGATCCCTTGGCTAAAGTAATGTGACAAGGAAATGGAAGAAGATATTGAAACGTTACTAGAAATGTGAGCAGAAGCACCCTAGTCAAATTATCCATGGAATTTGACATTTCAAGGTTTTAGAGAAGCTAGCTTTTGACAAATTGAGATATTCTTGATATTCTTCATTAGAAAAATGTGATTCAACCTTATTAGATCGGAAGATGTTTGCTCTATTGCTAGGAAAACTATATAAAAGAAGAAGCATTTATTTTTTAGCGTGGCCTATTCTCTTATGAAAGGAACATTGAGGAAGTTTGTATCCACTTTGAGAAAGAAAAGACATATTAAAGGAAGAATTTACCAACAATCAGAATTACAACAACAATCTACACTCCACAGCTAATGCCAACTATAAAAGATGACAAATAGTGGTGGAGGAAGAGTATGAGAGAGAGGAGCCTCTCAACCAAAGCTGAAACTGGAGAAACCATCGTCAAAACAAGGACAAGGAGGTCTGAGGAGCATTGTGGAGGAGACACAGAGTTGTTCCATTGACAAAGGTGGCCAGTGCTGGCTGACAGTTGTTGGCTGATGGTGGTCGACAACTGATGGCGACAACAGAGGATAAAGGTGGACTGTGGTGTACAACTGCAAAACTAGTAGAGTGTTATCAACCTCGTTTGGTACCTTCTTAAGACCATAGATATGAAAAAAAGAGCTTAAGTGATTGCTTATCTATTATTTATAGAAGAAAATTACATCGCAAATATCTTGGTAGTTAATGCTAAAAGCTCATAATCACAATTTATAGAAGAAAATTACATCAGAGTATCTAGGTAATTAATGCTAAAAGCTCATAATCACAATATATAGCAATTTTCCAATACAACTACTAACTACCTGCATTAAATACCTATTCTAACAACTACTTATGTATAATACATATTCTAATTAAGGTAATTAATTGCTGTTTTTGTTTTGTGTTTAACCTTTTGGTTATGTTTGCAATTAGTTTCTATCTTGAATGATATGTAGTACATATGTCTAATGTAGAAATTATATTTAATTCTTTCAATGCTTGGGAATAATAAAGGATAACTAAGCTGTGATAATGGCCAAAGAAAAATAATGGCTCAGAACCCACATAATGACCAGAGAAATTGTGCATTAAAAAATTGAAGTTATGTAACAGTAGAGAGAGAAAGCATTGTCTGAAAAGAAAACCATGAATTAGGACATAATCATGTTTATATTAAATCATGGCCCATGCTCAATACTATATTTCAGTAGTAATCAATATGGGCATCGGTAATATTAGTTGTGCTTTCTTACATGAGTTGTCCTAGCCACTTTGTCCAGTGCAAATGTTTTAAAGTTTAGTACTATATCCAAACCTTTTTAACTACTAATTGGGAATTGAGGAAGACATGTTTACCACATTTACCAAATTTATGATGAAGGGATTATACAAATTTTAGTGTAATAAAGATGCTTGAATTGCTAGAAAATAACCTAATGCAATATTAAGTATTCATTGTTGCTACCAATTGGCATCACAGGCACCCCAAGAATACAAATGTTGTGGAGGGAATGGTCAAAGCTCTTGCTAGGGTTGTTTCAAATGTACAGGTTTGATTTTAACTGCATATGCTTTTATTTATTTCTGACTTCTGATTGAGGTTTTTGGTCATGGTATAACATGGATATAGTTGGTGTGGTATTTTGTTCTTTTTTTTTTGAAAATAAAATTTATGATTAGAAGAAACTTTAAATGATTCTGTAGGTTCAAGAATCAAGCGAGGAGAGCTTGGCTGCTGTTGCTGGAATGTTTAGTAGCAAAGCTAAAGGTATTTTATTTTTTGTATTTAGTTGAACAAGAATAATTGTCACTTTTATCTCTTTTTTGAAGTCAATATTTGTTTTTTTTCCATTTTTTACTAAAGAGTTTCATATTGCACTGAGTAGGAAAGTCTGATACTAATTTTGTTGATAGTTTTATCCTGTTCTATCAATTTTGGTTGATACTTTGTTAATATCATTTCCTGCTTTCATAAAGTGCTTGTAAGATATTGTGCCAACTCTTAGATTTTTCTGCTCCTCGGGTTGTCTTTTATTTAGGGTGTATTTTTCTTTTCCTTAACACATCTTAGCTGATAGCTCTTATTTCTTAGTGTTGTATATGTTCTTTTCTGTATATTTTATTGATTGGCATCTTCAAAGAGGATTCTCTTTCCTCTATCCTGTATTCTCTTTTTCCATTCCTTTGAATTCTTATTTTAATTTTGAAAACAATTACTTATTAGATTATGAGGAGAGAAAGCAAGATAAACAGATGAAATTAATGATTGAAGCAACTGGTTTATTTAACACTAGTCACATACAAAATCTCGAGTCTTATTAATAGACTGAATATTTTACAAAAAATACACCACACAACCCAATACTGTACTGAAATTAAGGACAAAAAAGAACAGTTAATAACAATTACAGACCAACATAACCACCTAATAACTGGAAAATAACTGAATCTGAAACTGTACAGAATATTCAACATTTATACAAGACTGATATTACTCAAACTTTTAACACCTATTTGACTTAATGATTTTGACATCTTATCTGATCGCCTTTAGGTGAGTTTAATTTGCTTGAGTAATTTTTGTATAAATGAAAACTTTCTATAAAAGAATAAATATATTAATAAAAAAATCCTCCTAAACAAAAGAGTTGAAACTTTTTTCTAGTTTCCTCAATCGATGCTGCACCAATCTCTTTTTGATATTACTCAATCGATGCTGCACCAATGTCTCTGGATTTCTTCTCCTTCCTAATCTGCTACCGTGTACCTGCTATCGTGTACAAATCTTTCTTGTCTCTTTCCTTCATCATTAATAGAGTTTTCATCCCCTTCAAAACTTTTCCGTTTTTCTTCGAATGTCAAAGCACTCCTATGATATCTTGCAAACTATCTTTCGTGATGGCTATGTCCATCTTTACCTCCACCATTGCTTTGTCTTAATCACTGACCCATCTCTCCAAAGCATTTACTCTATTCTCCATAATTCCCCTTTTCATGGAATTGGTATGTTAGACCAAACTGTTATGTTCCTCGTTGAAAAGACCCAGACAAACAAGATCAAACACCAATTACACTGAATGTTCCTCGTGATAGTACTCTCACAATAAGTGAAAAATGAGAAACCAAGGTCTTTGTTTACAAAGGGTTGTGTTTCCATTCTCAAATGACAATTCCTTGTCAACCATCTCACAACTCGAAAGACTCCTCTACACAACAACCCCTCACCCTATATAACGACTTTCTCAGAAAGTGTCAATCGCTTTACACAAAAGACCCCCTAACTACATTTTATTAATAAGTTTTCTTCTATAGTATACATTCCATTTCCTATCATTGTCTCTGTGCCTATTAGTTGTTCCTTTATTCATGTCTTTGTTGTTAGTGGTGGTTGTGTTGTAGACATTCTCTACTTTTTTTGGTGAACCTGTTTGGTAAATTCCACAACATATGTTATGAGTGGTGAAACTTCATTATCCCAAATCACAAAATTAGAATCATTTAACCCTGGTCCTCCACCATCGATGTGGTCTTATCTTGATTGTCCCTTCAAAATCCTCTAAATGTATTGGCTTCTGTGCAAATAATTCAGAACATCAAACTGGTGGGGACCTATCACATATGGAAGATCATTAGGGCCTAAAGGGTTGAATTGAATCTCATCTCAGATATTTAGTCTTATGATTTGAAGGGCATGGGTTTGAGCCTTGTCGGAACTAGATGCATGTGCTACATGCACAGATACTACGGTGACTTGTGATGGTTCGTGGTGATTCTGTTGGTGACTTAGTTGTAGGTGTTGTGATTGTTGGCGAGGGGTGCACCTTCTAGTGTAAAACTAGCTTTAGAGGGTGGTAGTGGTCAATAACAACAACTATTTACATGGCAGGGGAAACAGAGCTCCCAAGATTGGGAACTCTAATACAAACTTAAACTATGTAAGGAAATAAAGAATTATTGTATTGTAACAATCAAACTCTCTAAAATAAGAAAATAAAAATATGGTGAAATGAAATGGAAAGTTCTAAAGATAATTTTCTCCTTAGTTACTATGGGGAAATTTAATATATTTTTATCACAATAATCATCTATTGAAAAGTGTTGTCTTTACATAATCCTTGTGGTTATTTTGAGTATAGTAGTGATATGGGTCAGAAGTGTATTTGAATGGAGTTTGGATAATGATGTTTTAGCTCATGAGTGACATGTTTTTACTCTGGCAGGTATTGAGTGGAGTCTAGATAATGATGCATCCAATGCTGCTGTTCTGGTTGCCAGTGAAGCACATGCCATAACTTTGGCAGTTGAAGGCCTGTTAGGAGTTGTCTTCACTGTTGCAACTTTAACAGACGAAGCCATAGATGTTGGAGAGGTATTCTCTATAATTTCTGCTGTTTTTACTTTTCCATATTGTTTTTTTCTTTTAGATATGCTACTCGATGACCTACTTCTTCTATGTCCATCCAGATTGAGTCTCCTAGATGTGATAATGATCCATCTGTGAAAATGGTATGGCAAAACTACAGTTCTCTATATCTCAATGGTTTATTCACTTTGATGCATTATCCCTTATTTTATCAAGGTTTGTTTTTTAGCATACACAAAAAAATGACACTGGTTGAAAGATGTTGCAGCATTCATTAACCTAGTCATAGCATTTAACATCTATGGACATTTTGATTAAGTAATCATGTTGATCTTGCATGCAAAATTTTAGAACAATGCAAAATGAATAAGCATGATTAGTTTTATTTTAGAATCGAGTCATAGAGCTAAAGCACCTAAGCTTCTTTCTGATTCATATGAAATTTTAAATTTGAACATGGTCAGATCTTGATAATCTGCTGGATTTTTGGAGTAATTTTATCATATAAAACGTAGTTTAGTGCTCTAAGATATTTTTGTACCATCCTGGTTACAATTAATCTTAACTAACCACATATTGTTTGTTATGATTTCAATATATTTCTTAACATTTGACTTGAGGTTAATTTGAAGGTCACATGGAGAGGCCATTGTTTTAGAAATATTAAAGGGATACCAGGCATTTACTCAAGTAAGTCAGTTCTGCCTTGAAATATATATATATATATATATATATATATATATATATTAACTTTATTCTATTTACATGACATCTGGAATCAACTTTGAACTTAAAATGATATTGGATTGAAAACTTTCGCAGGCTTGTGGTATTCTGCGAGCTGTAGAACCTTTAAACTCCTTTCTTGCATCCCTTTGCAAATTTACAATCAATTTTCCTGTTGAAACAGAAAGAAAGAGGTAAATGTTTTAAATCTGTTATTAGTAGTTTTTGTTTCTTTTATTTTGGTGCTTTAATTCAAGCTTACAGTACTGAGATTTTAGCTTAAATTTGAGATTTTAGCAGTGCTTTGCCGTCTCCTGTATCAAAACGGTCAGAACTATCACTTGATCAGAGCGATAATGTTGTGCTTACTCCTAAGAATGTGCAGGTGGTCCTTCTAGTTCTTTGAATAGCAATTTGTACTTTCCCCATTTGTCTCTAGTTTGGTTTTTTAACTGTTCATTTTCTTAGTTTGTATTTTTGATTGTCATTACCACTAATATTTCATCCACACTGGTCACATGAACTAGGCCTTGAGAACTCTTTTCAACATTGCTCATCGGCTGCATAATGTTCTGGGCCCATCCTGGGTCTTGGTATGTTATTTTTCTGCTGTTTTCTTTTATGTACATTCCTACCCCAATCTGAGTGAATGGTCATCATGCTGTAGGTGTTAGAAACTCTGGCAGCTTTAGATCGGGCAATTCATTCTCCACATGCCTCTACTCAGGTAATTATTTCTGTTTTCTTCTATTATTTAGTGATAAATTTCTTGCAATGTATGTACAGAAATCGTTAATTAGGTTAAGTTTGGGATACAAGTCAAAATCATTTTGGGCCCTCCTCCAAAAAGGTTAAGCTTTTTATGTATTAATTGGTTCTTGAGTTTTTTTATTTTACTCAAGTGGTTATTAGGAGTTTGATTTTCACTTCTCTTTACTGGCTACCGTTATTGAATCTAAATTTTTGCAATGAGCACAAGTGGGTGTTGTTTTTTCCTTTCTTTGGTGCACATATATTAGTTATATTTTCTTCCATTCAGTTGCTTACCAATATGGCTTTTGATGTTTCTTTTTGCATTTCTTGTTCTTTGTTTTGGAGGGTATCTTATCCTTTCTTGCTCTTGGATTAGGGATTTCTCCATCTTCACTGAAATCTCTACTTCCTAAGGAGTTTGTGTGATGACAATACCCAATAGTGAATCACTTTTGAAATCTTGCTTCTACTTCTAGAGGAGGCACCACAAACACTATGATCCTTTTCATTTGGTTTTTACTTCAATAGAGTGTGAATTCTTGATAGCTCTGGTGAACATTCACAGAAATCCTTTCTTCACATTCCAACCCTCTTTAAAAGTACAGTAAATTGCTCCTTCTGGAACTCCCTCCAAGATCTCATTAAAACCTTATTCTGATGATTTTCTGCAAATTGGGAGAGCTATAGGCAACAAAACTCAACTTCAGGGGTTTTGTTCAACAGATGACGGGATAGCTCTATATTAATATGTTGTTTAATCTATTATGTCGAGTGTCGAAGAAGCTTTTCTTCTAACAAGTAATAACTCTTTTTAGGACGTGATTTTCCCTTTTGCTTCTCTAGTGCTTGGTTAACGGTCTCTGTAATGGGTTGTTTAGCAAATAATACGTAAGTGATTACAAAGCTTTATTGTCTGTCTTGTTTGTTTGATTTTTCCGTTTCCTTTTTGTGCATCTGCAATGAGGATTCTTTTCTTGTGGTACTCTATTCTTATTTTAGTATGACTTTTTTTTTTTTCCAAAATGATTATAAAATTAAATTTGATATGCTTCATAGTTTTGTTGGAAATTTCTTTTGGGTGAGTCTTATGTGAAATTTACAAAGTACATGACCATTAATTCTGCAGGAGGTCTCCACCCCTGTAAAGTTCTCAAGAGAGTTGTCTACACAATACAGTGACTTCAATATACTCTCGTCTTTGAACTCTCAGGTGAATAAACCTATTTTATCTTTTTGGAAGTCAACACAGAAGATGACTTTCAGCTGCTACACTCAATTTAGGATGAGCTTGGACATCACTATAATTGTCTTAATGACAATCCTTTCCAAAATATATTTTCTTTTTTATAAATCTTTTATCTTGGAAATTCTTTTCCATGTCCAATGATGAGAATGCAAGCTTGATTTTATTGCTATCTAAGCTTTGATTCTCTTTCATTCTGTATATTTTTTGTTTTTATTAGTGCCTAAAGTGTTTATTTTTTTTCTTTCTAATTTTTTTGTTAGGAATGTATAAGCCAGTTGATCTAACCTGTTATTATTTTCTGTTTGAAAGCTCTTTGAGAGCTCTGCTCTGATGCATATATCTGCTGTGAAGTCTCTCCTCAGTGCATTGTGTCAACTTTCACATCAGTGCATGTCAGGTACTTCAAGCAGTTCGGGACCAACAACTAGTCAAAAAATTGGAAGCATTAGCTTTTCAGTGGAAAGAATGATATCCATCCTTGTGAATAATTTTCACAGTATGTAAACCATAACTCTAAACATGATAGTAATTCTTGTATGCTAGATGTTATTCAATTGTTCATTCTATGTTGTATTTTTCCTAAGTAGATACTTGAGTTGTGATATTTAAGTTCTATTCACTAATTTTGGATTTTGTGAATATTCATTTTTTATTTTGTTGTCAAGTGAAGGTATTTTAATTTTATATTGTCCTTTTTATCCACAGGAGTTGAACCATTTTGGGATCAAGTAACTTCTCACTTTCTTGAGGTCTCTTTTTCTCACTGTTTCTTNTTTTTCTTTCTAATTTTTTTGTTAGGAATGTATAAGCCAGTTGATCTAACCTGTTATTATTTTCTGTTTGAAAGCTCTTTGAGAGCTCTGCTCTGATGCATATATCTGCTGTGAAGTCTCTCCTCAGTGCATTGTGTCAACTTTCACATCAGTGCATGTCAGGTACTTCAAGCAGTTCGGGACCAACAACTAGTCAAAAAATTGGAAGCATCAGCTTTTCAGTGGAAAGAATGATATCCATCCTTGTGAATAATGTTCACAGTATGTAAACCATAACTCTAAACATGATAGTAATTCTTGTATGCTAGATGTTATTCAATTGTTCATTCTATGTTGTATTTTTCCTAAGTAGATACTTGAGTTGTGATATTTAAGTTCTATTCACTAATTTTGGATTTTGTGAATATTCATTTTTTATTTTGTTGTCAAGTGAAGGTATTTTAATTTTATATTGTCCTTTTTATCCACAGGAGTTGAACCATTTTGGGATCAAGTAACTTCTCACTTTCTTGAGGTCTCTTTTTCTCACTGTTTCTTTGGTGTGGCAATGGTAGTTTCATTTTCATCTCACTTGATATTTTGATATGCTCTTTCAGCTAGCTGATAATTCTAATCCACATTTGAAAAACATGGCACTTGATGCACTTGATCAATCTATATCTGCTGTCTTGGGTTCGGATAGGTTCCAAGACTACAAACAATCTAAGTCTCTTGAAACATCACAGGAAGTTAGACCTTCTACCATTTTTATTGCCAGTGACCCATAATTTATTAAAAGATGACTTAATGTGTGTCCACCATATGCAGATGGAAGTCAATGTGGACAAGTTGAGGTCTCTTGAATGTTCAGTCATATCTCCCCTAAAGGTTCTTTATTTTTCTACGCAAAGTGTAGATGTTCGTGTTGGATCTTTGAAAATTCTTTTGCATGTCTTGGAGGTAACACTATTGCTAGTTGGTCAAGTTTTATTGTTATTTTCTCAATGTTTGTTTACATGATACTAATTTATACAAATTCTTTCAGAGGTATGGAGAGAAACTTCATTACAGCTGGCCTAATATACTTGAAATGTTGAGGTTGGCCTTCTTCTGCCTTAATGTACCTCTCTATTGGTAATCCTCTGCTTAATCAATGTACCACTGTGTTAATGTAAGGTATGTAGCAGATGTTGTGGAGAAGGATCTTGTTACTCTTGGCTTCCAGGTATACTGATTTAGTTTGCAGCATTTATTGCTCAACGGGGCTATTGGTATATTGAGTTGACTATTAGTACTTCTCTTGTTACTTCTGATCATGATTCTGGAAAGTACACATTATTAAATAGTGACAAGACATAACTAAGTGTTGGCTATACTGCTTGTCTGTCTAGGCTCTCTAGTTCCATTTAGTCTTGCATTTTGCCTCCAAATTTTCTCTCTAAACTTGTGAGCATTTTATTTATAATTTTTTTCTATTTAGTTTTCATTTTTTAAGGAATTATTCTAATAGTGTTTAGATTAAAAATTTTATACCTTCCATTTATTTTCCTCTTTCACTTTTTGATAAAAATAGACAAGCAAAAACATGACAGCACATATTTATATCCCTCTTGGATGGCAACCCAATATGTGTCATTCAT